CTTTCTAGTTTTGGCTTCTTTTCTTTTTTCTTCATATTTAAGCAAATTCTGTCGGGTGCCATTTTCAATGTATATTTTTCTAGCATCGTTTTTTGCTTTAATAATCTCTCTGCATTTTGAATCAAACCACTCATTGGTGTAGTGAGTTTTTTGGCCAAGCGTTTCGTTTGCTGCGCTAAGTACGGCCTGTTTAATGCCTTGCCAGCTTACTGTTACGTCTGATTCTCTTATCATTTAATTATTTTCTTCTAGTTTGTTTACAACTTTTTCTTGGTAAGCGGCTCTTGCAGATTCGTTTCTTATGCTGGCCGCGACGTTCCAATCAATATCTGATTGAATTAGAATTGATATATACTTAGCAGAAGAACTCTGCGTACAGAAAGTAAATTTTGTTTCAACATTAATATAAAAAATTTTCTTTATAATTTATATAAAGAGGTTTTCGAACAGAAGTGAAACAACAACAAAAATTTATTTTTTAATTATTTTAATTAATTGAATTTTTGGCTGACCATACAGCTGTTTCGAGTATTGCTAAATATCCTTCATCAGTGGTCTTGGAAATAATTCTTATATTTAATTATTCGTAAATAATTATTTTTGAGACTGCAAGTACCAGGAATCGAACTCGGGTCCTGCCAAATGTGAAGCTCAGAATCAGCGCACCTAAATAAATATATAAATTTTTTTAAATCAATTTTATTTTTTATTAGTACTTTTATTTGTTATCTTCATTTGAAGCTAAAAATTATTTCTAACAGATTAGTAGAAAAATTATAATAATTAAAAATGTAAAAAATCAGCGCTATCGGTGGCAGAAAAAGTCTGCGAACAAGAGTTTAAAAAGCGTCGAAATATATTATTTTTTAAAAGATTTTATATTTTCAGTAACTTGTTGGGTAACTTTTCCTTTTTATGACCTCCAAAAGTCGTTTTGGTATCGAATTGATCAGCTTCGCAGTCTCATTGCTGCTTATTTTACCCCATTTCGCGTCGCTCACGTTATTCAGCATTTCTTTGGAGGTTATATTGTATTCATGTACCCGACGCTCCAGTAAATCGTATAAATATTCTATAGGATTCAAATATGGCGATTATGATGACGTTTTGATTTGCTTGGGCACATTTTAAAGCAACCAAATCTTTACAACTTCTGCAGTGTGCTTTGGATCGGTATCTTGTTGAAGTAAGTAATTAGACGATTCTGTAACCCCAACTTTTTGGCACTGCTCTTTAAATTGCATTTTAAAACATTTTAAATGATCAACTTTATTCATTATCGGCTCAATGAATTCCATTTTTTTCACTCTCGCCATACACCCCCGCACTATTTCTCCTCTACTACCGTGTTTTATTGTTAGATACAAATCTTCGTTATTAAAGGCCGTACCCGGGATTCGCCATATAAACCGTCGACCTTTAATGCTAAAGAGACAAAATTTGCTTTCGTCTGAAAAAATTATGTGTTTTCAAAATTCTGGAGACTTATTTAAATATTCGCTTGCGAATGCTAAACGCTTTATTATAATATCTTTGGAAATAAGCGGCTTGCTTCGTGCAAACCGGCCATGGCAGTGGTATTTTTTTAATATTTTGTGTACAGTATCCACCTGAATTTGCTTCTGAAATTTCTGGTCAATATAATTCTATAACAGAAGTCCAGTTAGACGATTATCTTTCACTAAATTAATAATGTTTCTCTTGTTGACAGCTTGGATGGATGCCCAGTTCCCAACTTCGAGTTCAATAATCCTATTTAGTTGTAGTTGTTCACTACTGTTTGAATAAAAGAATATGACCGCATAACGATTTTACCAATTTCGCGATACATTTTCCTTTTTTTTCATAGATCAATAATAATACTGCTCCCACTGATAATAATTTCTTTTCCTTTATTTGCCATTATAAATTTAATTACTTTTTAATCGTTAAATTATA